GGTTTTTCATCATGAAAATGGGAAACTATGCTTTGATACTTAATATAGGAAAATGTATCTTCGTGTTAATAAATAAGGAAATTGAGGCACGTAAATTCAAGTCACGTTATTAATCATGGTCAGTTTAATTTTATTCTTACTTTCGTGAATTTCTTTAACAGTAGCTATTCTTTCACTAGCATATTTTTAATAAACTTAAACATTTTGCTGCATTCCTGAAAATTACTACTCTTACTGTTAATTCATTAAGTCGGTGTTGAGGAAAGAAGCCAGTAATAAAGCCACCAAAACAATGATAACCTCTTTATTTTACTTCCTAAACAAATAATTATTTTAAGTTATTTATCCCCTACTTGATAATAATTGTTTTCTAACACACTTAGATTTGGGGATGTCTGAAAGCCTGTGAGAAAGTAACCGTGTGCCTGCTGCAATCCTCCAGCTCATCTCTGACTTGTTCGGGTGGGTTTCTGCAGGCTGGCCTCTCTGAAGGGTGTGTAGTTTAAATTCTTTGGCCCAGAGCCAACCATTCCTCTTGGACCCAACAGACTGGCATCCCTCATTCTAGAGCCACTGCTTGACCTAGGTAGAGATAAATTGAATTAGGGAAATCAAATGTGAGAGCCACTTGGCCCTTTAGGTAGCATCCTGAGATTTTTCTCTCAAACTGATACGTTCTCTTATCCTCATTAACCTTCCCACTCACTCACAGCCCTCCCCCAATCCCTGATTCCCCCATCTCCATCCCTCACTTTGGCTAGCTCTAGTCTAATTGTACAAATAAAGATAATGATGCACAGAATTCTACATGTTTTCTACCAGGATGTTCTTTCAAGATGATTTCCATACATACCCCTACCTAATAAGCGACTGCTGGTTAAATGAGCCAAGAAAAGAAGAATATGCCTGTGTGAATCAAGGATTGTAAATAATAAAATCCAAGATCACTGGAGGACATTGTACTAGAGTTTAAATTCTGAGCACCTGGTGTGCACTAGGCTGTGGATGACAGTGGAAACCCAAAATCTATTTGCACAGTCCCTGCATGGATTAAGCCTCCTGTTAATTCCCTCTGACTATTGACCAGGGATGTGAATACCCTTCTATCAGACAGAGTGCATTGGAAGGTGGATTAATGCAGATGTAGTTAGGTTTAAATTTAACATCTTATCATTTTGAATTATCTCATTTGAACATATTACGTGTATTCTAATTGTTATTATATGCTTTCTTTTGGATAGAGGTTGTTCTGAATTTTACTTTGTTATCATTGTTGGGGCTGTGGGTTTATATAATTTTCTTTATATGCAATCCAGGATAGGTAAATCTATAGAGACAGTAGCAGGATTAATAACTTCTTAGGGGAGGGTAAGGGGAAGATGGGAGAAGAGATGGGGAGCCAATCACAGTGATCTACATATAGGGGAACAAACAACAGAAACGTGGGTGAAGGGAGACATTGGTCAATGTAAGAAATTAAAATTATAATAATATTTTATAAATTATTAAGAATTCATGAGGGAGGAAGGGTGAGGAAAAAAGGGAGGGGGAAATGAGCTGATATCAAGGGCTCAGGTAGAAAGAAAATAGCATGAAAATAATGATGGCAACAAATGTACAAATGTGCTTGACACAATGGATATATGTATGGATTGTGCTAAGAGTTGTACGAGTCCCCAATAAAATGATTTAAAAAAATAGTTTCTTAGGGTTAAGGCAAGGAAGGGTGCGGTGGAGGAATAGGAATCTGATAATAATGAATATAAGAATGAATACAATATGATAGAGGGACAAGAGGAAAGTAAAAAGAAATAGAGGAAAGAGCTAGGAGGCAAAGGGCATTTATAGAGGTCTAAATACAGGCATGTACACATGTAAATATATTTTTGTATGAGGATGGGAAAATAGATCTATGTCATATGTTTATAGGTTTAGTATTAAGGCAGCAGACGGACATCGGGCCTCCACTCAAGTACTCCCTCAATGTAAGAACACTTTGTTCTATTAAACTGGCATTCCATGATGGTCACCTTCCTGACACAATCACTGAAGACAAAGTGGGTGCATAAGCAAATGTGGTGAAGAAAGCTGATGGAGCCTGGCTATCAAAAGATATAGTGTCTAGGGTTTTAAAGACTTGAAGGTGAACGAGTGGCCATCTAGCTCAGAAGCAACAAAGCCCACATTGAAGAAGCACACCAGCCTGTGTGACCATGAGGTGTCGAAGGGATGAGATATCAAAGAACAAAAACCATATCATTGTGAATGTGGGGGAGTGTGGAATGAGGACTGAAAGCCCATCTGTAGCCAACTGGACATCCCCTTACGGGAGGGTTGCAGGGAGGAGACCAGCCAGTCAGAGTGCAGTGTAGCAATAATAAAACATACAACTTCCCTTTAATTCCTAAATGCTTCCCCCCTCCCCACCCCACCCCTGACTATCAGGATCCCAATTATACCTTGCAAATCTGGCTGGACCAAAGGATGTACACTGGAACAGATAAGAACTGGAAACACAGGGAATCCAGGATGGATGATCCCTTCAGGACCAGTGGTGAGAGTGGCAATTCCGGGAGGGTGTAGCAAGGGTGGGGTGGAAAGGGGGAACCGATTACAAGGATCTACATATAACCTTCTCCCTGGGAGATGGACAACAGAAAAGTGGGTGAAGGGAGACATCGGACAGTGTAAGATATGACAAAATAATTTATAAATTATCAAGGGTTCATGTGGGAGGAGGGAACGAGGAGGGAGGGGGAAAATGAGGAGCTGATGCCAAGGGCTTAAGTGGAGAGCAAATGTTTTGAGAATGATGAGGGCGTACAAGTGTGCTTTACACAATTGATGTATGTATGGAGTTTGATAAGAGTTGTATGAGCCCCCAATAAAATGAATAATTAAAAAAAGAATGAATACAACGCTCTAAAATGGATTGTGCTGATAATTGCACAACTCTTTTTAAGCTATTAAAGCCATGGAATTGTATGGTATAAAATATATGTCAACTGTTAACATTTAAAACATGTATATAAAATTTTAAGCTATATGATCAGCAAAACAAAAAGAGAAAGAGAAAAGAAGTACATTTTGAGTTGACGTCATCATCGAAGTACATAAAACTATTGTTTCAGACTCCCTAGAATTTTATTACCTCTTGGATTTCTTTTTCTTGTATTCAGTGCTACCTCTCCTCTGTCTGTTATTGAAATATTTAAGAAGTGTTTCATGTGCAAAAGACATGAAATTTTATGAGTTCCTTCAGGAAATTAGATACCATGCTGTCCAATATATGTATACATATGACCTATATTTTAATGATCAGAAACTGTCTTGATAAATGGAGAGGTCATCTCAGGAAAATATTATTGCCCTAATGCTGAGTCTGATTAAGACCGTGTCTAATTGAATAAGGCATCACCATACAATATTAGTGGTTGCTTTGGGAATAGTACCACTCATTTGGGCAGTTAGAATAAAGTTTAGAAGGTCATCATAAATCTTTGCTTGCATATGCTATTCTAAGGGAAGACTTCTTAATAAAACAGGCATTTGCATGAAGACTTTCAAAGAAGAATATAGGTCATAGAAAATAAATTGTAAGTCAGTGTAGCAAGTTATTACTGATTGAAATAATTTTTTAAATGTTGGTTAAAGGCATTTTGTCATAATAATACTATATTAGTGAGAAAACAGTAAAAACACATTTTGATTTAAGCTAAGAAAATAACAATCATAGGTTGAATAAATGCAATAAAAAGGTAGTATTAACAGCTTTCTCTCTACTTTCTTTGTGTGTGGTGAAGAAAACATTGCCTATTGCAACCTTTTGTGATATGAATTGTGCCCATCATACTGTGAAAACATTACCACCCCTTGTCATTTCCAAATTTCATCTGTTAAAATTTTCCCCTATGTTTTCTTGGAAAGTTTCCAGGTTTCCGTTGACCTTTATATGATTAAACATTGCCATGGATACCAAGAGTTGCTTTCAAATGTTTAAAAGTCCAGCTTCACATATACTGTGCTCATGTGCAAATCTTTGTTCTCTCCCCATCTGAAAAATGTGGGCGGGACTGAGTAGCTTTGGGGCTCTTAAAGAGCCATCGGGATTAAAGGTAGGGAAATGGGGCAATGAAGATGGGCGTTTCTATTCGCATTTGAATCCCCTTGCCCTCTCCCACAAGCCTAGATGAGTTCATTCGTGAGAAGAAACCTGCTTGTGTGTCCAGTCAAAGAAACACAAAACCAGTTAGAACAGCAACTCTTTTTCACTGTTTTGAAAACATAGCTTCTTTCCCCCCACCTTGAAGATAAACAGGCATTGCCTGGATAGAGGACAAAAATGTTTATATGCAGTTTGGCAAAGCGTCAAATAATGACGGATCGCTTAATTAGCATTATCATGTTTAGTGCTGAGTGAACTCAAGGAGAAAGAAATAATAGAATAAAAGGTCATCGCTTTCATAATGCCCTGCAGCTCTGAGTAAGACTTGCTGTCATTGTAAGGGACATTGCCTGGTCCTTTTGTCCTCCAAGACATTGTGCCTTTTGAAATGGTGTCACTAATTCTTAATGAATCTAGGTGTTTGTGGCAGGTGGTGGGATACTAAGTAAGCTCTCGCCCACGGGAACAAAAGAACTGGGCTTTTTGCTCATGTTTGAGTTTCCTGATTTTCAGTTGTTACTGACTGTTGGTGTCAACACACCTTTCAGTAGTTGTTCTACACCTTCGTTTACTTTTAGTGCTTCCCAAGAGAGCGTGCCCTTTTTCTAGTAAGGAACGAGGTGGGATACAGCTGAGAGCAAGAAGACCTCACAGGTTGTGAGTTGTAATAAGCTGTTTTGTGATAGATGACCAGCGTGGGAAACGCATCCTTAAGACAACACTTCCTCTGTGTATCTTTATCTTTGGAGGTAGGCGGGGAGGATAGGAGGAAACACTGTTGGCTTTTGTTTCACATTTCCCCCCTTCTTTTCCTCCATTCTTTTCCCTTCTTTAGACAAAGCCTGTTGCGTTTGCAGTTCGAACAAATGTCAGCTACAGTGCAGCCCACGAAGATGATGTCCCAGTGCCAGGCATGGCCATCTCATTCGAAGCAAAGGATTTTCTGCATGTTAAGGAAGTAAGTCAAGCATTGCAATTTGTAGCCTGCTGCTGTCATCTTGAGACATGGTGTCCCATTTTCTCACTGCTATGAAGCAGCATCGTCATCGGGGGCTCTCAGCTTTTTAAAATAGTCATATACCCCTTTCATGTCAAAAGGAGCCCTCTTACAATAACTCCAAGGCTCCCCTGCGTGCCGTAGCCTAGAAATTGGGAGCTGCTAGATTTAAATGATCTTTTTTCCTTCTAAAGCTCTGATGTTTACGTTACTATTTGACCCTATTTGCATTTGTTTCCCGAGTCTGCAGTTTTACCATGTGGGGTGGGTTTAATAATTAGAATTCACAATCTCTCTTCTTTGCTGGCCACTTTTAACCTCAAGCCATTGTGTCCTGTGCCCTCCTGAGAAGGTGTGTTTCTCTGTTGGAAAGGGGCCTGGTAAGAACAGGAGAAATTCATGCCGGAAACAGGTTCTCAAAAGAATTCCTTTCCCTCCATCTTCCATTTAATAACTCAAACTGTGAATTGTCAAAAAATAAAAAAA